AAATGACTGATCTCAGAGGAAGGTGCCATGTCAGGAGCATAGAGAGATTTACTTCTATAAGAGTAAGTTTCAGCCTCTATAGATTGGTTCTCAGGGAAAGCTATGAGTGCAAAACTGTCAGATCTGTGGGTGCTCAGACAGCAGAGGCCTGAGGGGGCAAAGGTCTAGTCATGGTGTGGTGGGTTTGGGCGTCACCTGGAAGTGTGTGTGAGGGTAGGGGAGAGTCGGGGTGGGGATACAAGCTGCCTGGATAGCCCACTGCACTATGGCCATTCCCTAAGGCTCTTTGATAATTACAGTATGGTTGAGTATCTCTCATCCTTCTATCCATCCATCTTGCCAGCCATCTACCCATTAATCTAACTACTATTTGAAATCAGCAATCCTTTCATATGAGTTCAAATTCTTTAAACAATGCATAAATATGTTTGTTAATTGATCCAGACTAGCTTTCTACCATCCCATCCTGACAAAACTAAGTCTAAAAACAGAATCCCAGAATGTCTTTCCGATTCAATATCAAAAGAATGACCAAAAAGAGGCCATTTAAATCATGTCCCAGTTTTTAGCTTTCACAACTTTTGACAGCCCTCGTGTTCACTTTTACAAAATATAGGCAGAAGATAGAGTGACCATATTTTCCTTTTCCTGACATACTCTGTCAAGCAAAGACTATATTTCTCCCACAGCAGAATTTTAGTGCAGTAATTTTTAACTGTTTTTTGGAGGGGTGGGGGGCGGTCAGAGGCGAGGATTGGGGGGGTTGGCATAAACCTTTTTGAGACTCCGATGAAAGCTATGGGACATTCTCAGCAGAAAAATACACACGCACAATTTTGCTCCCTATTCTGGAATCCCGTCTGTGTAGCCCAGACGCAGGGCCTGCTTTACAGTCACGAAAGACCAGTGAAGATTTATGCGATGTCAGTGAGTTAGTTCTATGTCCATTAGGTCCTGTCCGTCAACAAGAAACAAGGATTCAAAGCTAACAAAGTGGAAACTTCTGGTATCCATATTTACCTTGTAACTCTTCCGCCCCCGTTCTTAGCTCTGCCCACATCATCTTCTGAACATATTCTTTTCTTCGAGTCCAGTTGGTACCTTTTAGCTTCTAGACAGTGGCTCATTTATATGGACTGCATCCTTTTCTTGCTGGGATACAAGAGATTTATTGATCTCACAATAAATCCTTTTGCTTGATTTTCATGCGAACCGTCAGTGTCAGGATGTTTTTTGACTGGGAAGGCTTCCATGTCATTTGCATCTCATTAGTAATAGTGAAATAAGAATTTCCCTTCTAATAAAGGCACATTGTAAGTTAATAAAAGCAATTATGTTTTGGCTGCACTAACATAATTCATTGAGTCTCGTTTCCATCTTTATTTCTATATCGACATTTTCTTAGGATTCTTAGATTTTTGGACCTACCTCTGTAAGCCTATAATGATGCAAATATTTTTTTTTATGGAATTGCAGAGACTTCGCCCATCCAGGTTTAAAAAACATTTCTCATAAGCATGACTTGAGCTCGTGTCTGGTTACTGATCAGTCTCTCTCTAAATCTCTACTGGATACTGCAATATTCTGAGTGTTCCAGGCCCATGGTAGCACAGAAGCCCTTGTTACTATCCCGGACACACATTAAAAAGACATTCCAAATAGTGTCAAAATATTTTGACGTTTTTGCTTGACTGATATTTTTGACGCGTAGTACTTAATTCTTTTCTTCAATTTATCATTAAAACAATAGTAAAAACTAATTTTAATATAGAAAGTAAGGTATAATTTTTTTCAGGGTATTGAAAGCATTTTATTAAGTTGCAATAAGTAGCATGCAGCTGTTTTAATCATAGAAGGGCAATGAAGCTCTGAGACAACTGAGACAACCCGGATGCTGAACTTTGTGTAGCTCTGTTTGATTTGCTTTTGGAGATGCTACCCTGCAAACAGACAATTCAAGTATTTGATAATAATCCAGTTGTGTGTGGTTATGATACTACTATGACCATATGATGGCACAGACACTAGGTACAAGTATAAAAGTGGAGAAGTGCACAAGCTCAGGAATCAGACTGCCTGTGTTCAAAATCAGGCTGCGTTTTACTAATGCCGGGAGAAGGCAAGAGAACTAAAAGTTAAATGAAGCTGTATTCAGAGACTGCAATATGCTGATCAGCCCTAGAACCAGACCATGATGAAACTTGCAAAATAAAGGAAGATTTCTGCTGGGATTGCTAACAAACCATTTACCCATACCATTTACCCATATCATGAAGTCTCATCCTACACAAAATAAAATCATTCATTTCCCATGACTGAAACCATGTATCGAAGGCTAGAAATTGCCAGCAAGCAGGCTTTTCGCACTACATATTCTTACTTTTTCATGCTGTGTGTTCTTATCCTTTCACACTGTGTGCCCATACCATCAAAGGAAAATGAGTAAACAAAGGCTTTAAACTGTAATTCATAGAAACTAAGAATTATATATAAAGTGAATTCCTTAAACACTTCTGGCTTCTTGTTTTTGTTTCTTGTCTTGACTTTTCTTCTTGCCTTTGCTTTTTCTGTCTTGGTCTTTTCTCCGTCCTTCTTAAAAAACTTTCTGTTTAACTCTGGCGTATGTTTGAAATCTTTCCTATGCTCAGTCAAGAACCCTCTTCCTCTGGGTGCAGGGCTTGAGCTCCTCCCAACTCAGGGGAATTTGCCCTATCCTGCATCATTACTAGTTGTGTGATGCTGAAAACATTTAACATCTCTGTGAAATGGAGTGAAAAGTAGTCCTTACCTCACAGCACTGTTGTGTGGGTTCAATGAGATAATGCATACAGAGCCCTACCATAGGGCCTGCTACTCTGTAAACACAAAGGATTACCAGTGTCTAAATTATTATGAATATTTTTTAAAAAACAATATGAGATAGAATTTTACATTAATTGATGCAGCATTTCTTTTCTAGGCCAATTCAGTAGCACAATTTCACTAACATTTTATTTTGAAATTTTTCAAACTTAAGAAAAGTTGAAGGAATAAAACAATGAACAGCTATGCACCCTTCATCTAAATTCACCAATTAACATGCTGCTACATTTACTTTCTCTATTTATACACAAGCAACACACTTCCAGAAACCTAAATAGTTTTTCTTGATTTTCTAAAAAGCATTTTTATCTGTCTTTATTCAATTATTCCCATTTTCCCCTTATCTTTTTCTAATGTGGCCTGTTTTCATTTTTTTCACAGTTATATTTGATTTTCTTTTTCTTTTATTATTGCTTTTTAATTTTTATCTTTTTATTAGATTTAACATTCAATATTTTATATTAGTTTTTATATCATTTTTATATTAGTTTCAGGCATACAGCATAGTGGTTAGACATTTATATAACTTACAAAGTTATCCTGCCTGATTAGTCTAGTACCCACCTGGCACTATACATAGTCATTACAATATTATTAACTGTGTTCCCTATGCTGTACTTTATATCCCCATGACTATTTCGTAACTACCAATTTTTACTTCTTAATCCCTTCACCTTTCTCACCCAGCGCGCAATCTCCCTCTGGCAATCACTAGTTTGTTCTCTGTGTCTGAGTCTGTTTTCATTTTGTTTGTTCATTTATTTTGTTCCTTAGATTCCACATATAAGTGGGATCATATGGTATTTGTCTTTCTCTGACTTGTTTCACTCAGCGTAATACCTTCTAGGTCCACCCATGTTGCCAATGGCAAGATTTCTTTTTTTATGGCCAAGTAATATTCCATTACACATATGTACCACAACTTCTTTATGTAATCATCTATTGATGGGCACTTCCATATCTTGGCTAGTGTAAATAGCGCTGCAGTGAACATAGGGGTGCATATGTCTTTTTGAATTAGTGTGTCAGTTTTCTTTGAATAAATACCCACTGTTTTCATTTTTTAAACCCATTGAATATAAGTTGCAGGTATCTTGCTCTTTAGTTCCTAAGTTCCCAACTGTATGCAGTTCCTAAGAATAAGGACATTTTCTTTCATAAACCTGATGTTATCACACATAAGAGAATTCATCATAACTCCATAGTTATCCCATATCTAGACCATATTCAAAGCATATTCAAATTTATGCAATTGTCTCAAAAACATTTTATAGCTGTTTTATTATTGCTGTTGTTTTTGATGTTCTATCCAAAAATCCAATCAAAGTTCTTGCATTGCATTTGGCACTTTTAACCTACAGTCCAGTTTAAGTCAGCAAACTTTTAGAATATCTCATATTTTGGATTTGTCTGAAATTTCCCTTTTGGAAAATTTCTTTCAATTTGTTCCCCTTCTCCCTATAGCTAATGCTGTAGACCTTAAGTGGGCCAATCATGAGGATCCCTAAATCATTGCTTTCCTTTGTGAGAGATCCTCCATTCAACAAATGTCTCTTCAGGTTATTTATCCCTACTCACTATGTGGTACTACTGGCTCTAGGCCTGGGTGTTATGGCAAGGCAGAGTATAATAAATTAAGATTTGACCTGCTGTAAGTGATAGAAAACCCAAACAGCAGTAGCTCAGATTATATTTCCTCTCTCTCTCTTTTGTCAAAATCTGAAAGTAGACAGCCTCAGGCTAATATAGTAATCCACATATCGGGCTCCTCTATATTGTTGCTTCAACTCAAAATCTGAGATGACAGGTCCAGCTCAGGCCATCATGTCCCCTTGTCAGCCAGGAGGTAGAAAAGGGAAGAAAAGAGAACACTCTCTTTTTAAGAACACTTCCTAGAAGTTACACCTACCATTTCTACTCGTATCTCATTAGCCATAATTAAGTTACATGGCCACATCTAGCTGCAAAGAAGGTTGTAAAATGTAGCTAAAATAAGGGGTCCTGTTGCTACAGAAGGAGAAAAAGAAATATTTAAAGAAAGATTTACAGACATCCATCAGCCTTCGCCATGTCTATTTACAAATGTCCAGTGCTTTTCAAGTGTCAAAGTCATAAATGACAAAGACAAAAACAGGAACTTTAAGAAAACATGACAGTTTAATGCAATGTGGGATCTTATTTCCAAAAAAAGACATGAGTGGGACAATTAACAAATTTAAATAACGTTTGTAGGTTAGATAATGGTGTTTTATCAGTTAATTTTCTGGTTTTTATCATTGTATTGCAGTTAAAGATGTTAACATTTGGGGAAGTTGCATGAAGGGTGAATGGGAACCCTCTGAATTACTTCTGGAACTTTTTTGTAAGTCTACAATTATAATTATTTTAATATGTAAAGTTTAAAATAATGCAAAAGACCTGTAAGGAGCTGTTTTGTTATTAAAATCCAGCATACTGTCAAAAAACAAACAATGAGGCTGGAGAAGTAGGCAAGGCCAGATTATATTGGGACTTAGTAGCCATGTTGGGGGATTTAGGCCTTGGATCAGTTTTTCATTGAGGATTCCAATAGGAAACAGATGGCATACTCGAAATAAGGTAATTTGAAGACTTATTTACATGAGACTATAAAAATAAGGATATAGGGAACCATCCGACTAAAGCCAACAGGTGGGTGGATAGAACAGGAAAAGGGATTTAGAAGTGGCTAGTCAAACAGGGGAAGTCATGGAAATGGAGGAGAATGTTTCAAGGAGTGGGGTAATTAATGTCAAATGAATGAAAGCTAAAGATAGTCTTTGGGTTTGGTTACTTGGTCAATTTGTGACTTTGGCAAGAACTGTTTCAACAAAACAATGATGGAGGAAGGTGGACCAGAGTGAGTTAAGTGAGAGAATGAGAAAATGAGGACAACTCTTTTGATATATTTGGCTGTGTTGGAGAGGGGAAAGATAGGATATATCTCATTCAATAAGCGTTCCAATTATCCACCGTGGAATCAACTGGAACAAAGGGAACACCTTTAACAAATTCTCTAAGGCAACACAATCACACATTCCCCATGAATGTCCTCACATAGCACTGAACTCCCTGAAAAAGCCAGAGACTCACATACTTCAAGAAACATAAAAATATATTTTAAGTCAGCCCTTTTAGGTATAAAAATGCTAGTTGAAAAAGCAAATTTCCATAACTGAATTTTAAAATTGAGTTTTCAAAAAAAAAAAATCCTTTCTACTTAAAAGAAAAGACACCATAAAATATTTATGGACCTATATAAAGATGTCCAACATAATCTGAACTTCTTAATTTTAACGTTTGAATCTAAATCCAGCATATATTTAACAATTCATTTGCTTTCCAAAAAACAACTTTAAAGGAAAAAAATATATTTTATCTTTCCAAATATAAGTGGTATAAAACGATATTTGGTTTTCAACAGTGAGAAGCATAACTGCCTTTAATTAAAATCAAATAATAAACACAGATACAGATTCTTTTAGATTAAAACATATAACATATATATACATGCTAAAAAAATATATATATATATATATATAATCCGTAAGATGAACTGAAATATGCATACCCTATTTATAGAACAAAGGCTGAGGAACATAACACACAATACCTCAACAAAACTTTCATTCACAGAATAATCTCCTGAAAATAGATATTAGATGAAATAACAAAAATTTTTATTCAAGATTTTAGTTCTTTTTACTGACTTTCTTTTCTGCATATTCCTCTCTCAAAAGATGAATTGTATATTTTTTGTATTTATAAACATCATATTTTCAAGCACTACAGTCCCCAGAAACAATTTATTTCTTCAGCTCTTCATGCACACTTGAGTTGGTGGAGGCTTGAGCTCGGAGCTCTTCTGTCTCCGTCTCAGCAGGCACGGGGTGTTCCTGTTTCACAGCATGAGCTGCATAGTTAAGGCTGGTATTTTCACTCCAATGCCAATGACCTGAGAAGGGGTTATAGAGCATTCCTACCACAGTTTGAACTGACAGACCATCTGAAAAAAAAAAATAAGAGTAGCCTTAATAAATATTTACCTTCCAAGTGCCAAGGCTCATGAAACTCTCCATGTTAAAAAAAGAAAGATTCCTAACTCAAAGTCAAAAATACTTTATAACTATATACTGACCATTCTTTACTGTAGCATAGAACATAAATTCTAAACTCTAAAGCCGACTGTTTGGGTTCAAATCCCAGCTCTGGCACCTATTAGATGATGACCCTGGGCAAGTCACAACATTTCTGAATTTCAGTTTTCTCACATGGGCAGAACATACATTATAGAGTTGTTAGAATTAGATGAGATTTGTTGGGTAAAGTAGCACAGTACTTGGAATTTGGTAATTATTCAATAAACATCAGCTATTAGAAAATACCTGCCAACAAGTGATTGTTCTTATAAAGCATCTTTAAAATATTTTTTCTACTCTATTTTCAACAAGGTCATTTGCAGAAATCTTCAGAACTTACTATATTGCAAATAATAGTGGCCAATTTATTTAAGTGTAAGGTTGTGTGATTAATAATTACATGTACTTTAAAAGTTCAGCTAGGCCTTGAAAATTGGAAAAGTCCTTAATACTTACTTGATTCCATAATGCTCTCTAGCTTTTCAGGTGAAACAAATTTCTCCCAGGTATGAGTACCTTTTGGCACAATACCTGCAATTTGCTCTGAAAAAACAATTCCCAAGACATAGGACAGCTGTGTTTTGTTGATTGTAGTAATGAATAAAGAACCACCCGGCTAAAAAAAAATAAATGCATAGAAGTAAAAATTTAAATGTCAGTAGTATTATTTCTGTAAAGGCTTGGCTTCTTCTACCATCCTTCTTCCTTCCAAATAATCAAAGTGCTGTTAAGATACATAAGTACGAATAATACATAATTTACCAAAATAGTACTTTTTCTTTTGAGAAATTATTAAAGGCAGTCCACTAAAGATGCACTCACTGAGTTTATGCAATGGTGCTTACAACTCTTAAAATCATACATTACTATGACTTAAATTCATATTATATACATTCTTTTGTACATATCAAACACATTATAATAAAAATACAGAAATGAGACCAGGCTGCTCTTCCTTATTACACGCCAACATTTATGCTTTAACATGTGTCAACAAGGTTTTCTCTTTGGGTGCTGAGCCTGTCTTAACTTGTTTGATACAGCATACAGCTTCATTCATTCATTCATTCATTCATTCATTCATTCATTTGGTGAGGCAACACTTCAATTAACTCACAGATTGCAAGGACCTTGTCAGCTTACAATCCCTTGTTTTTTATTTTTTATTTATTTTTTATGCCTACAGCACCTGGTCTTCCTAGGTGGTCTCCCATCCAAGTACTAACCAGACCCGACCCTGCTTAGCTTCCGAGATCAGACGGGATCAGGCTCGTTCAAGATGGCATGGGTGTAGACCAGCTCCACATCTTGTGCAGGCGAGCAATGTTGGTAAATGTGCTTTGACAAAAACATTAATGATTAAAGTTTGAAAGTTTTTTGTCTTATTTTGATTTCACTAGTATAAAAAATATGAAGAGTTCAAGATAAGCGCTTAGATGAATACAAACCATTTATGGACTATTTAGTCTGCTATTTTCTAGTGACTATTAGCCTGATGTGGGTAAAATACCCAAGAGTCCCTCCATAATAATCATATTACTATATATGCACGCACGTGTGTGTGTGTGTGTGTGTGTGTGTATGTATGGAGGGGGGGATGGATATATCTTAAATACCACCTCAAACCAAAAATAAAAAAGAAGAGGCCCTAAAATATTGAAATGTGCACTTAAGTGAAAAATTGAAATATGAGATACTATTTCATCACATATTGTAATTGTTCTCTGCAAAATACCAGTATTCTAAAATATCTTACTGAGAATTACTTATGTGTCAATTATATCTTAACAGAGCTAGGGAGAAAAATCTCACTTATGAATATCTAATCTGTGTTCTACAAAATCCTACCCTAAAGAAAGAGTGGTGAGCAATGGCCATTTATTTTTTTAAAAAATGTTTTCCATTAAAGCAAATATTAGTTTTAAATTCCACAATATTAGCATTCCTCATGTGTGTGAAAGAACCTCCATTCATACATACTAACACACAATACAAAAAGTAATAATTAAGGAGTTTTGCTGGAAAATAGAAGATAGACCTAATAAAACTCATTTAAGAAGAAACATCAAAAAACTGTTACAGATTGAAGGTGACTAAGGAGACATGGCAACAAAATGGCCTGGATTGGATCCTACAACAGAAAAATGACATTAGTCGAAAAACTAATGAACTTTAACAAGGTCTGTAGTGTAGTTAACAGCATAATGTCAACATTAATTTCTTAGTTTTAAGAAATGTACCATGGGTTATATACAGGGCTAGGAGTATGGTGAGGTGAGTGAGGCTCCCAGGACACAAAACTGAAGGAGGCACTCACTCTCCGGAGTGTGTGAATGTACGATCAGGATTGGCACCAAAGAAGAAGTGCCTCCTTCATTTTTGTGCTCACTTGTCTCACCCTAGCTCCTATTCTTATTATGTAAATTGTTAACAGTAGGGGAAGGGTATATGTAAACACTGTACTATTTTTGCAACTCTTCTATAAATCTAAAATTATTTAAAAAGAAAAACTATTTTTAAAAAGTTCTTAGGTAAGGGCTAAGTATTTCATTCAGGTTACCTCTTGAATACATAAACAGCGTTAATATAGTAAAAGCAATATTTATTAAAAGAAAATTTGGAACCACTTTCGGAGGACTAAGTCTGTAGCAAATTATATATAAGCATAATAATGTAATGGGAAGAACCAGAGTTGGAATAAAAAGAGATAGCTTTAAGCCTCATTGAAGTATCTACTGACCTTTGACTTAAAGACCAAGTGACCTTTGACATCTCCCAAATTCTGATCTTCATTGGTCAAAGGACGTGATAGCAATGCCTGCCTTACCTTCCTAACCTGGTTGTAGGTAAGATCAAGTGAGATCAAATGTATGAAGTATTCTTTTATAAGCTGAAAACTGTTATACATAACACACTGAGTTACTTAAATGCTGTCACTTTATGCTAATAATGTTTTTTATTGATTTTTAAGTACTTAATCAAAACCAACTTCTTAGTAATTGTCATTCAATGTCTATTAGGTATTTAATCTAGACTTTATCAATGGAAAAATACCACTATAAATCTATTGGCTGCATTATAATGATGAGCACCAACATTTTTCAAGCTCCGTAGGTACCAAGATACTGGATCTAGAAAACCCCAGTACTGAGGCAAGCTGAGAGGCAGAAGCAATCTCCAGCAGAGATGCTGTCTCCTAGTCCTGGCTTCCTGGTTTCAAGTATTATGAAACATTTATTGTTATGGATACAATCACAAACTGAAAAGAAAAAAAAGTAAATTCTGTGAGTCTTACTTTTAATACTTGACAGCAGCACTGTATAAATGTTTCTAGATCAATCACATGTTCTACAACTTCAGAAGCTATGACAGCATCAAATGTTTCTGTACTCTCTTCCACAATCTCTTCCAGGGAACATGCTCTGTATTCTATCCTCTTATCCAGGACTGGATCAAATGATTTATGGCGCTGTGCTGTTTTAATGTTCGCATCCACAGGATCAATTCCAATGACTGAAGCCCCAAGCCGCCCTAGAGGCTAATGGCATAAAAAAACGTTACCCACAAGAAGAAAACAGAACACATGTTAGTAATAAAAAGGTTATCAAAAAGGAAGCAAAATTAACCATAAGAGGATAATTACTGGAGATCATTTATGGGTACAGGGATGTTCATTACCATTTTCTCTAGTTTGTACATGTTTGAAAATTTCCAAATAAAAAGCTCAAAGTGAGAAAAATAATCACAACAAAGAAACCTTATCAAGAACTACTTGACAATAGTCAAATTTGTAGAAAAAATTTTTTTCTACATTCTCTAGGTACATTTACATGCACTTAATACAGTATTGACATATTTAAAGTGTAATACATGTAATGTATTATAAAATCCCCAAATTTTCTGATATTCAATTGTATATAACAAATTATATTTGTTAAAAGGATAAATTTTTTCTTGATAGTTTTTTTCTGTGACTGAGTAGAAACAATTCCTCATAGTTAATTCTTCTTTCAACTTTTATATTCAATCACTTCCTATGACATGTCCAAGTTTTGAAACACAGCCTTAATTTTGTCAAAACTTGCACAGCATTTATTTTATAACTATTTAGTAATTACGTTTAAAGTATAAATCAAATTATTCGAACTTTAGAGACAAAAGACCTGCAATAATACAGTGAAAAGACTGTAGAACACTTATAGTAAAATCTTACTCATTTACAATTTGATATGCCACCAATTCTTGATGTATTTTCATATATTTTACATTTTCTGAAATTTTATAATTGATAGCAGAAGAAACCAGCCCACTGCCATATGAAGAACATGTTTTTTGTGCATGAGGAAACTTAGCCATGCATCAAAGGCCTATTAGGCTCACTGTCAGTTTGGCTATTACGGACCTTGACAGTATCACATCCCACTGAACCTTCGCTTACATTAATATCCTATACTTCCTTAAAATATCTTTAAAAGATCAGATTACGATACAGTAGTACACAAAAAGTTACTGTGTTGATAGCAAGGCATAAATTTACTATAGTCTAAAGTAAATCTTCACAGGGAGAATCAGTATTCTTTCAAGTGCTCTAGAGCACCTGAGAGGGAAGAGCCCCACAAACAGGCAAAACTCTGTTAGGTTTTGATGTTGAAGCAAGTGCAAAAGGACAGCTTAAACTAGTGAAAATTAGCTAATCTTTTGGGATAGAAGAGACAATAAAATTTTCAAAGCTCTTCAAAAGACCAGTTTCTCATATTTGTGTAAAAAAAAAAAAAAAATCCCTCACTATAATTTTCTGAAAATTTTATATATTTTTAAGGAAAAGTATGAATTACTTTTATAATCAGAAAAATATTTAAAATATTAGGCATTTTAAAAATGAATATTATTTGTTAAAAGGATAAATGAAGCATAAGCCCACTTCTCAATTTTTTTTTCCCAGTTAAAAAAGGCAGGAAAGTTGTAAATCACTTACTTCAGTTAACAATCCACCACCACAGCCAACATCAAGAATCTTCATCCCAGACAAAGGTTTCCCTGGCTGGTGATTAGCAACTGTTTTTAAAAGATTGTCTCTTTAAAAAAAAAAAAATTCAAAACATATAAAAAATTATTAATTTTAACAATTGAGTCTTCAAAGTGTACAATTTTCAATGAAATATTAAATTTATTTTAAATGGATTATCGATGTTTTGGGCAAACGGGTCTTTTATTTTGCACATTAAATGACTATGTTTAATTTAAAAGATATTTGTAATAATCAAAAGCAGGAGGTTTAAAGTAAATCTGTTGAATTAATCTAGTAATTATGACATAATTATTAGTTTAGTCATAATCTTAGAAAAACTTTAAAAATAATCTAGTTTAGATTAACCTAATTTTATTTGCTTGTCATCATGTCACTTATTAGCTACATTGTTAGTACTTGCTACACCCATTTCATGTCTGCAACCAATATGTTATTTTACAGGGCTTACAAAAAGCAAATTGGAAATCTGTATTTTCAGAATTTGCCTATATTCCCTTCCAAATTGAGTATCCCTTAATCTTCTATGTTAGTAGTGTTTTCATGATCATGTAAATAGGTATCCAAATCCAGTAAACTTAATTTTAAGATAATCATAGTAATATTTTACCACATATGCAAACATATGCACATACATACACAAGCACACACAGAGATATATACCTAACAGTACTGAAAACTAAAGTTTTAAGTTGGACTATGTATGAATTTTAATTATACGTACATTAAAATAAATGTTATATATAATAAAAATACCTTAGGATATCATTTATTGCTATTAAAATTAACTGACTTCTAAGAATAACCTAGATAGTGGTTAAGTAGATAACTTTAGAATGCTGTAACATACAGAAAGGACCCGTTTCAAATGAAGTCCAATCCATTCTTCATGCATTGGGCAAAATGACTCCTTTATATCATAATTTAGATCATATCACTCCCCTTCGATGGCTTCCAATTATTCTCAGAATAAAATCTAAACTTCTAACCACAATTTATACTGCTCTAGGTGATGTGCTTTAGTGTGATATCTAAATGATAGTCACAGTAGTTTAAATAGAATAGTTCTCAAGCTGAGAGTATATCAGAATGATCTGAAAGGCTTGCTAAAACGGTCTGCTGACCCCACCAAAGCAGTAGGTCCAGGACCACTGTGAGAAGTCTGCATTTCTAATAAGTTCCCAGGTAACACTGATGTTGCTAGTCCAGGGAACCAGGGAACCTTGGGAACCACTGACATAGCCTAACATAATGACATTGCGCTTTTCTCTGCCTTAATGTTTCAGTGGTCCACAAATTCAGTGGTGATAAAAAGGTGCCAATATTTCCCTTTTTGCTGCACTAGCTCTGGATGAACCAGCAAAAACAATCGAGAAGTTTCCTGAGGGCAGTCTGAATCTGATATTCTGCGTCAATTAAGTGCCTTGTCCATGTCAGCTGCTCAGAAATGTTTAATGAATAAACAAATGGACATAAGAACAAATCAACAATTTCTTGATAAATGGAGTCTGATGAACCCTTTCCTTTACCTCCCACAGCAAACTCTTAAGTTCCTGAAGTACGTGGACTACGTTTCGAACGATGAATATCCTAGTACCCTTTACAGTGTCTGTCCCTCAAGCTCTGTACAAAGTAAGTTCTCCATAAATATTTGTTGAATTGAACTGTCTCAGTAGTATTCCCTTTAGTAGGACTGCATAAAGGTCAAAGTTGCTATAAAATGATCTTGATGTTCATAGGACCCTAGTTCCTTTTCATAAGGATTTAACCTGATAATGTTCAAAAATGCTTCAAGTTAATTTATGAAAGCAGCCTAGAACTTGAATGATGTTATTTAAAAAATTAATGGTTTCAAACAATGGACAGTGAAGAGAACCTTCCTAATTTCTAAAGCAACCTTAAAATACAGCATTTTGAACCTAAGTATAAACCAAGAGAAAAATGAACTCAAAAGATGAATTACTACAAAGAGTTGCATTTTAAAAGACTTAGAATTTCTGAAATGTTACCTAATGAATGGCACCCTGAGGTCGTTCATAGAATGAAGAGGGGCATATACTCCTTGCTCATCCCACCACCTGTGAGCCAGGGCCAGGAAGGTTTTTACCTCACTGCTGTCTACAGTGGTTCGAGAAGTACTGTACAGTCTTGTCCAAGGGTACCTAGGAGGTCAAAATGAAGAGCCAGGCAAAAATTGCTTTTTAAAAAAATGTAACATATTATGTAGAAAGGTATTCTAATTTAAAATTTATCAGATTCTAAATACTCATTTTTGATGTTTCAAAACCAAATTTTCTTATAATCACATTACTTATAAATATATATATATTTATATTTATTCACAGATGAAACAAAATCAATTGGTTTTCAAAGTAAGCTACAATGAAAACGAAACTTTAAGACTTGGCCTTCTGGGTTTCATCTAATAATATCTGATAATAATAATAGTAGTAGCAGTAGTAGTAATTTATTGAGCACTCACTACATGCTGGTACTATTTAAGAACTCCATATATGCCATATGTCATCTCATTTAATCCTGCTAGCAACTTTATAAGGTAGGAACTACGATGATCCCTATTACACAGATAAGAAAAGGGAGGCTCAGAGAGATCAAGTAACGGGTAAAGCCAGGATTGAACCCAAGTGCCTCCATCTTCTCTCCATTTCTGCTGCTATCATCCTAGTCCAAGCTCCCAACATCTCTTGCATGAATTATTATCCTAGATTTCTAATTACTCTGCCTGCTTCCTACCTTGTTCCCCTCTAATCTGTTCTCAACAATGCACCCACTTTTCTCCTCATCCTCTCCACTTCCGCCACATGGGCCTTGTTTTAATTCTTTGAATTGACCATGCTTGCTCCTTCCTCAGGTACTTTTTTTTTTTTTTTTAACCCTTGGTTGACCTCACAGATTGCAAGGACCTTGTCAGCTTACAATCCCTTATTTTTTATTTTTTTAAATTTTTTACGCCTACAGCACCTGGTCTTCCTAGGTGGTCTCCCATCCAAGTACTAACCAGGCCCGACCCTGCTTAGCTTCTGAGATCATATGGGATCAGGCTTGTTACAGGTACTCTGTATATGTTGTTCCTTCCACTTTGGTTCCACCATGCCTCCTCTACACGCATAATTAATTCCTCTCATCTTTTAGCTCTTAGTTTGAGTGGAATGTCATCTGAGAAGTCTTCTCCAACTCTCAAAACTGGGTCATAGTCCCCTATTTTAAGTCCTATACAACCATATACTCTTCACTGGGCTATGTGATTATTTGATCATGTCTCCCCACTAGAATATAAGCACTCTGAGGGCAAGGCATGGACTGTCTTGCTTACCATTTTATTCCTAGTGACTAGTACAGTTCCTGGAACAAAGTTGGTGCTCAGAAAACATTTGTCAAATAAATAATTTGAGAGAGGAGGCCCAGAAAAGTATATAATTCACCTAAAATTTTTTTTAATCAAATGGGATCAAACAGAGACTAAACAGGTATCAGACAGACAACTACACCAAGTTCCATGTCAAAGTAGATGATGGGAAAATCCTCCAAAACCCTATCAGACAGACAACTACACCAAGTTCCATGTCAAAGTAGATGATGGGAAAATACTCCAAAGGTTCTTGGGTGAAAGACAATAAGGTTGTCACATTAGAATATGTAATGCCATTCAAATTTTTACTATGTTTTTCTTAGCTACACAGAATACATTCTATATTGATTACTTATTATCCTTTTAATAGTTAAATGTCACTCTTCTTTAATATTATATTATGAATATTACCTCCCCTTCCCATGCTTCATGCAAAGTAAATAACTAACTTAACAACAGATAACAGTAGGTGGGCGCTCAGCTGACTAAAGAATGATTTCACATATACGTAATCTTAAAGGAGCTAGCTCATTACAAGTAGAAGCACGTACTCATACCTTAACTCTATGAAATATTTCTCATGAGGTTAGAAATTTGTTTATAAAATAAGAATACAGAAAGACATTATTTTGATTCAGTCTTACTATCTAAAATGTATACTTAACCACCTTATCATACTATTTATGTTGCACTCAAATCATTTAGAATTTTAAGCACTGTATTATTTGTGTCCTGTCATAAGGATATTGAGGAAGTAAAAAGTATTTCTCCAAGTAACATAGTCTTATATTTTATTTATTCATTTGTTAAATTTTTTTTAAAAATTTTATTTATTTATTATTATTATTTATGCCTACAGCACCTGGTCTTCCTAGGTGGTCTCCCATCCAAGTACTAACCAGGCCCGACCCTGCTTAGCTTCCGAGATCAGACATTGGGCTTGTTCAGAGTGGCATGGCCGTAGACCATGGACCATGCCTCTTCTGGGGTGTGAACCCAGGACCTTCTGTGTGTAAAGCAGACGTGCTAACCACTACACTATGGAGCCACGTCCAATATAGTTTTATATTAAAAATGAAAGCTACCTATAAATATGGATAAAGGCTATGCACTGTATAAAGTGTTACAATTTTTCTCTGTGTTTGAAATATTCCAAATTTAAAATGGAAAAATAAATAATGCATATATTTAAATAAATAAAATCTACCTTAATCAAACCACATGAGCTATTATGTACTGATATAATAAACACTGGTTTATTAAACACAACCAATACAAAACTATTATGCCTATAATTACGTAAATATTTGCCACACTAATGAATAAACTTACCTATAACTTTTCATTGTATTCAAGCAGGCAAAAGTCATTCTATAGGATTTGGACCACATAATTCTGTATTCATGGAAAACCCATGGTTTAATTTGTAGAGTCCAACTGAGCTGATTCTTTGAATAAACTGAAAAAAAAAGAATGTCTAGAGAAAGCATTGCACAGTATGAATCCCTAATATGCATGTACTTGAAGAAACTATTTTATATGGCAATCTTATATTACAATTGATAAACAAAAGGATTGTTTTCTTAATTTTGAATGTTATTCTAAAATATAAAGGTCTTGCATTCTGCCATCTAACTCTAATCAGACATTTCTGAAATTATAATTAGCCAAAATAAGTAATGCATATATAAAAGTTTTTCATGCCATTATGCTGCACAAAATTATAAAAAATGATATTCAAATTAAAACTACATTACCTTTTAAATTAAGGTAATGCTGATGCTGAGATTGTCTAAACTAGTTCAAATTCTGTCACTTCCATGTTAGCTACATAAAATGGATTTAATATATGCTCAACACCTTTTACAGGAGAAAAAAATTTCTTGTAAAACATTTTTAAATAAATACTCATCCAGTCTATATGTGCAAACTTAATTGAGATCTGCATTATGAACTAGTTACTCTGCTGCAAAACATTCAATTGTTCAATAAACATTCAGACAAAGTAGACCTTACAGCAGAGAAAATTACTATGGACATTACATTGTGATAAAATGGACAATCCACCAAGAAGACAAAGCAATCCTTAATGTGTATGCGCCAGACAACACACTTCCAAAATATATGAAGCGAAAATAGAACTGAGAGGAGAAATAAACAAATCTACAACTATAGTTGGAGACTTCGACACTACTTTCTCAGTAACTGATAAGAACCACTAGACAGAAAATCAGCAATGACATAAAAGAACTGAACAACACCATCACCCAATAAGATCTAATTGAAATTTATAAAACATTCCACTCAAACAAAAACAAAATATACATTCTTTCGAGCATACATGGGGTACTCATAATGATACACCATATCCTGGGATATAAAACAAACCTTAAACAACTTTAAGAGAAGTGAAATAATATAAAGTATGTTCTCTGAGAATAATGAACTCAAACTAGAAATAAATAACAGAAAGATAACCTGAAAAGAACAAAACACTTAAACAATACAATTCTAAACATCCATGAGTCAAACACAAAGTCTCAGGGAAATATAATTGAAATAAATTAAAATACCTAACATATAAAAATCTGTGGGCATAACTAAAGCAATACTCAGAGGGAAATTTATAACATTAAACACTCATATTGGAAAAGACGAAAGGTTGCAAATCAATAATCTAATTTTCTACCTCAACAAACTAGAAAAAGGAAAGTAAAATAAACCCAAAGCAAGCAAAAGGAAGGAAATGATATTGGTAAAAGTAGACATCAATGGCATTTAAAACAAAAGATAAAATAAATCAAGCCAAAAGCTAATTCCTTGCAAAGATCAATAAAATTGACAAACTTCTACCAAGACTGACAAAGAAAGAGAAAACCTAAATTACTAATATCAAGAATTCAAGAGAGGATATCACTATGAACCTGAAAGACATAAAAAGGGATAATAAGGGAATACTACAAATAACTCTGCCCAGTGAAATTCTACAATTTAGACAAAATTACAAACTACCTAAACCCATGCAATATGAAACAGGTAGCCTGAATAGATCTATAACTACTAAAGTTATTAAATTCATAGTTAAAACTTTCTGAAAAATAAGTCTCCAGGCTCAGATAGCTTCACTGGTGAATTCTAACAAACACTTAAAGAAGAAAAAACCAACCGATTCTACCCAATCTCTTCCAAAAAACAGAAGAGTAAGGAACACTTTTCAACCTATTTTATGAAGCCAGCATTACTCTGATACAAAAACCAGACAAAGATGATACAGCAAAGAAACCACAGACCAATTTCTCTCAGGAATAGACACAAAAATTCTCAACAATTAGTAAATAGAATCCAGCAACATATAAAGAGAATACTGTAGCACAACCAAGTGGGATTTATTCCAGCTATGCAACACTAGTTCATATTAGAAAAATTAATGTAATCTGCCATATTAATAATCGAAAGAAAAATCACATAATCTTATTGATGTGGAAAAAACATCTGACAAAACCGCACCCATTTATGATTAAAAATTCTCAGCAAATTGAGAATAGAAGGGAAAATTTTCAATCTATAGAGCATTCATAACAATCTTATAGCTCACATAGTTCTTAACAGTGAAAGACTAAGTGCTTTACCCCCAAAATCAGGGACAAAGCAATCTTAGCCAGTGCAATAAGGTAAAAAAAAAAAGAAAGAAAGAAAACAGAAAAGCAAGCTCCTGGAACTGGTATGTGAGTTCAGCAAAACGTCACCACACAAAAAAGTCAGTTGTTTCTATATACTAACAATGAACAACTAGAAAGTAAAACTTAAAATGCTGTATCATTCAAAATCAGTCCAAAAAAGAATGAATTACTTCCATTATTGCATAAATTTAACAAAACATGTGTGGCGGTCCCCAGCCTTTTTGGCACCAGAGACTGGTGCTCCTATGAGAATTTAATGCCTGATGATCTGAAGTGGAGCTGAGGCAGTGATGCTAGTGCTGGGGAGCAGCTGCAAATACAGATGATGCTTCACTAGCCTGCCATTCACCTCCTTCTATGCAGCCTGGTCCCTAACAGGCCATGGACTGGTACTAGTCCACAGCCTCAGGGTCGGGGACCCCTGATGTATAGGGTCTGTATGCTGAAAATTTACATAAAACACCGATAAAAGAAATCAAAGAAAACCTAATAAACAGCAAGACATACTGTGTTCATGGATTGGAAGACTCGAAATCATTTTCCCCAAATTGATTTATATGTTTATACAGTTTCTATCAAAATCACAATAGTCATTCTTTCCTAAATACAGACAAGCTGATTCTAAAATTTATATGAAAAGGCAAAAGAAATAGAATAGTTAAAACAATATTGAAGAAGAAGAATAAAATTGCAGGAATCCCAATATTCAATTTTAAGACCACAGAACTATAGTAATCAAGACAATGTGTGGTATTGGAGGGGGGACAAAGACAAATATCAGTGTAACAAAAGAGAGTCCAGAGATAGACCAAAAAGTTCACCCAACTGGTTTTTTGAAAGTGGTGCAAGAAACAGTTCAATGGAGGAAGAACAATCTTTTCAATAAATGGTGTTGAAACAATTGTATGCCACAGACAAAAAAGAAAACTTCAACCTAAATCTTACATCTTATACAAAAATGAACTCAAAATGGATCGTTGATCTTAATACAAAATTATAAAACTTTTAGAAGAAAATACAGAGGATCTTCATGACTTAGGGTTAGGCACAGAGTTCTTACATCTGACCCCAAAAGCACAATCCTTTTAAAAAGTGATTAAATTGGACTTAATTGAAACTAAAACTTTTGCTCTACAAGACAAGTCACAGATGGGGAGGAAATATTTGCAAAACACATATCCCACAAAGGACTTGTATCTGGAATATATAAGAATAGTCTTTAAACTGAACAGTAAAATCAAAAAGTCTCCATTAAAAAAATACACAAGAAATCCAATAATAAAATGGATGTAGATATTATAAAATGAGTATAAAAAGAATGTACATCTCTTCAAAGAGGATATACAAATGTAAATAACCACATGAAGAGATGTTAAATATCAACAGACATTAGAGGAATAAAATGAAAGCCATTACATACCTATCGAAGTGGCTAAAATTTAACCATCCTGATATTACCAAGTGTGGACTGGGATATGAAGCAACCAGATCTTTTATATATTGCTGGTGGGAACGTAAAATGGTACAGGTACCATGAAAAGCTAATAAACTAATAAAGGTAAACATACATTTTTCATACAACCCAGGATTTGCATTCCTGGGTATTTATCCCAGAAAAGTGAAAATATGTCCACACAAAAATCTGTATACAAATGTTCTTAGTAAGTTTATTCCTAATAGTCAAAAACTGGAAACAACCAAAATATCCTACAAGAAGGGAATGGTTAAACAAACTGTGTTATATCCTTATCATAAAATACTACTCAGAAATAAAAAAGAATGAACTATTGATACACACAATAACTTGGATGGATTTTATGGTGAGTGGGAAACAAAAAACAATTTAAAAAAGTGTATACTGTATAATTTCATTTATATAACACTCTTGAAATGGCAAAATTATAGTAATGGAGAATAGATCAGTGATTGCCAAGGGTTAAGGTTGGGGGAAGGATCTGACTATAAAGGAATAGTATATGGAAACTTCTTTGTAATTATGAAATAGTTCCATATCTTGAATGTGGTAGTTGTTACACAAATCTCTATGTATGGTGACACACACGCGCGCGCACACACACACACAGTGCATTTAACGGTGGTAAAATCCAAACAAGGTCTGTAGTTTAGTTAACAGCATCACACTAATGGCAATTTCCTAGCTTTGACAATGTATTATGGTTAGGTAAGATGTTATCTCTGAGGAACTGGTGAGGGGCATATGAAAATTCTCTGTACTATTTTTGCAACTTCTTGTTTTAAATTATTTCAAAATAAAAAAAAATTTAATTAAAAAGTACAAAAGGGCACACTAAAAACACTTCTCCTATCCCTGATTCTAGTTATCCAGTTTCTGTCTCTGGAGGCAATCAGTGTTACTAGATTTGTATGTATGCTTCCAGAGATTTTATACATATATCAATTATATTTTTGTATATTAATTTATCAATTTCTTATTTTATACAAAATGTAGTACAATACACGCATTCTTCTGCACCTTGCTTTTTTTCACCTATCAATGTATCTTAGAGATATTTTCTTAACAGAGCAAAAAGAACTTCCTTTTTTAGGGTGCATGGTATCCATTGTATGGCTATCATAATTTATTTAAGCAGTCCCCTTCTAACGGGCATTTATTTAAGTTATTTCTAATTTTTTGCTATTCCAAAAACATAAGACTGAATTACCTAGGTAATTTCATATATTTCTGAAAGTACCTATAGATGAAATCCCAAGAACCGTGATTGTGTCAACTGGCATGTGCATTTATAAATTTGTAATTGCCACTCACAGATGCTGAATCAATTTGCAATCCTATGGGTACTATATGAGAATTTGTAGTGCTGGTTTCCCCACACTGATAATACATACATTGATAGTCACCTATCCAATTTATTATCAAATGTTTTTTTCTTTGCTAATCTAATAGGTGAAAATGAATGTTTGTGTCCCTGCCTCCAAATTCATATGTTGAAAACCGAACCCCTAAAGCAATGGTATTAAGAGATGGGGCTTGTGGGAGGTGATTAAGTCATGAGGGTGGAGCCCTCATGATTGTTTTAATGCCCTTATAAAAGAGATCCCAGGGTATACCACAAGAAGGCTCCATCTATGAACCAAGAAGTGGGCTTTCACCAGACACAGAATCTTGGGCTTCCCAGTCTTCAGAACTGTAAGAAATAAATTTCTGTAGTTTATAAGCCACCCAGTCTGTGGTATTTCATTACAGCAATTCAAACGGACTAAGACAAATGGTTATTTATTATTTTGTGTCTTGTCTTTTCGTAGTCTCTGAACATTTTTCTCCTGAGCTTTTTATGTTTTTGTTTAAAAAAAGTTTAATAGGCCGTTCACAGGCTGGCCCAAATCCATCTCAATGTTCTTAAAAAAAAAAGTTCGTGCTTCTAGGCTTTTACTTATGTTACTCTCTTCCACCATTTCTATCTCTACTACCTATCTGTACTACCTTTTAACACCCAGTTCAAATACTACTTTCTTTATGACTTTAGGTAAGCAAATGACATATTAGAGAATTATATAAACTACTCAGTGATGACTCCCATGTCCTTCTCACCTCCCCTATATCTGGCAAATTAGTCCCTCAATCATCAATGTTGTCAAGATTTTCAAGAGCTTGCTTGCTTGCTTGCTTGCTTTATTTATTTATCTATCTATTTATTTATTTATTTAAAGTTTACTGGGGTAATATTGGTTAATATAATTATATAATTTGTGAGTGTACATTATAATTTGACATCTATATATTCTATTGTGTGCTCAAGAGCTTTAAAAACCACTTCACCACAACTGAGAAACTCCAACACAGATAATCACTGCTAAATTTTTTTTATGTATCTCTATTTTCTCTATATCTCCATCTATATATCTAAGTACATAATATACACTGATTTGTAACTTACTTTCTTAACACTATATCTCAATCATTTTTCCATGTGGATACACATTGATTTAAATTATCTTTTTTATTGGCTACCCTATTTTCCACTGTATGAGAGTATCAACTTAACTCTATTGGTGGGCCTTTAAGTTTCCTATTTTTTGCTCATTATATTCGGATCTTATTTGTATCCTAACATTTTTTTTTAAAGAGACCCTTGAGGTATCCTTCCTAGTGCCTGGCATTACAATATTTATTAAATGAGTTTCATGTAAAGGATGAACTTAACTTTCTGGTCAACACTGGCAGTTAAATAAACCAGCTTCTATGAACATAAGGTTCAGTGAGTTATTTTCTTGATCTTTGTCAATACAGTCTGTTGAATTAACTTATTAATCAAAAAGTAGTATAGCTACCTTAGATCTTTCTGAAAGAAGGCGATGTAAGTTCAAACAAAACACAAATACAACGCTATTAATCACTGAGACAGAAGCTGGTGTCTCTTTTCGCCGCGGCAAAAGAAAGCACACGACCTTGAGATTCTGGCAGGCACAGAGTGGTCGCCGACTCCAGAGGAAGGAACTCAACCAAAATGAGACAAAGGTCGCTGGATCTACGGCAGCGGCCCGAGGGCTGTGATCTCCTAGGCCGAGAACGCAAGTACTCAGCTATTTTTCCCAGCCGCTGGGGACGGCAGGCCAAGAGCCCAGGCCCGCGGTTCAACAGACTGCGAGGGCCGTAACCCAAGGTAAGGGTCTTGCCTTGACCCCACACGGAGCCCAGCAACAGCTGGCCGCCCTCTCGCGCGTGCGCAGAACAACTGGCCCGCACGGTGGGCTGCGCGTGGGGGAACCTTGCCCCCACCCACCCGGACAAACACATATACGCACCCACTCACCTGCCGACGTAGTGAAGCGAGGACAACCAGACTGTGTGCCCAGGTACCTAAACCTAAGCACGTTTAAAAAAAGACTCCCGGAGGAGCTCAGCTTGCGGGCTCCCCACATCGCGACAGAAAGGATCCACCTCTCTTCCGGTCCCTCCAATAAAAGAGCCCCAACAGAAAGGTTCCACTAGCACCGCCTGGAGCCAACCTAATCACGGTTGCATTAATGAGTGGTGTTATGTGACTATACCCTACGCTCAACAGCTGTCAAGTTGTGTATGCAATTGAACTATATATTATCATAAACTACAGGATCCTGTTTGTGCCTATTCCTACTATATGCCCACCTCAAATCTCATGGCCAAAGTAGCCATCCATCATGCTACTATTACTTCATGCTGTGATCTAGCTTTTATTCCATGTAGTTCCACTTCATATTAAATGTCTCCTAGGGGCATTTATATTCCTGTAAGATATTGACCCTAATTTAGAATCACAAATGTGTGAAAAAGCACATTTTCTTTAAGGGTAGAATTCTATCTCCTTATGAGGTACTCAAAATAGAGGGCCAGAAGTCTAATTTGAGATTTTCTGCAAGTGACTGGATAATCTGGACAGAGAAGACATTATATAGCAGGATACTGCTAATTACTTAGGCTAGGCAAACTTCATTTACAGCTAGAATGGTGACAGTAACATTTTACTTCAAAATGTATAAAAGCCTTTCCCTGGGTAAGAATGATAAATTTCCAACATTAAAAGTAAAAAGTCATTGTACATTTTCAGCAGGCAAGGTCAAATTGGTAAAGGGTTCTTTGAAATAATGAAATTTACTGCTCAGTAATGGTCTTTCACTTATGGTTTAAGTAAAACATTGACTTCCTCCTAAGACTGGTTGCAGACTTTTTAGTCATCTCTTCAGAACTCCTCTCAAGATGGCAGAAAGCTCTGCACAAAAGAACATTTAGCATTTACATTTGTTGGAGTGATAGATCCAAGGAAAAAGCAAAAGTTCAAGTATGACTAATAAATTTTTAAGAGCTTTATTTCAATGAAATTTCTTTGAATGTACCACCTCACCGGGCTTCAGAGCCTTCCCATATTTTCAGTTCAACAACAAAGGCAATCCGTAATGTCTCAATACCAACAGGAAACAAGCTTCTTGAATACCCATTAGTTTGGCTAGGATAAGCAAAACTAGCTCATGTTATTTTTCGCTACAAATATTAACAAAAAATTTTTCCAATAATACTCAAACCGGAGTTGTATTGGAAGTCCTAGCAGTTGTAATGTGCTACATGTTGGGAGTTAAGTCCCAGACCATCGCTATGGTCTCAACCACAAACGTGTTGTAAACTAGAGCCTACAATTAATTTTGCTAAAATCTATTTAGCAAAAACTAAAAATCTATTTAACATTTTGACATTCAACTTTGTAATTTTCATATAAACTTTTTTCATTCAAGTTATGGGCAAAGTGATCCCTTAAAGCTAACAGTTTTATTCCATTGAAATGAGATACTACTACATTCATTTAGAGTTTAACGGTAAATTTTCATATTTACAAAATTTCACATAAATCAGTAACAATATTAACTGACCATAATAAGAATGTGGCAGATGTAACCTATGTGTATTTATAGATCTCTATACCTGATAAACCTTTAAGGTTATGAATGTAACTCACACCAGACAGCTAATAAAAAGCCCATTTTCTCATTTAGGTTTAGACTGTACAACCAAATTCTATTTAAAATCAAAGAACTTAAGGGTTTGAAGTGTTCAAGACTTTAGAGATAATCTAATTCCACCCTTATACAGTTGAAGAAATTAAGGCCTATAATGATTAAGTGATTTGCCCAAAATACACCAAGTACCAGAGCCCTGGCTTCTGGGGTTCAATGAATCGAGTACTATTTCCATTAAACTATGCTTAGTAGTATTTTAGAAACTTCACTAGATAAAAACATTTTAATGTGTATAAAAGAGGAAAAACTCTGTTTAAATAAAAAGGTTCCCATAAGACAGTATTACGGGGACTTTGGACCTCATATAATTCCTATGTAAAATTCCCACATAAAATAAAAAACTCAACTAATTATACATCGTATGCTTCTCTGAAGAAACAGAATAAACTCAGACACTAAAAAACAGACTATGTTTGGGAAATTCACCTATTGTGTTTTATACCATTAGAAATAGATGCTAAAAAAAGGCATTTTACAATGGCAGAAAACATATACACTGAGATTCCACACCAATCTTTATTTTATATTTTGGGGCCTGAAACAAATCTTAAAATTACCTCTTCCAAATTACATTTTATTCTCTTAATGGTGTGGTTTACCCCCATTCCACAAAAACAAGTATGATTAATACACTAAAATATTTTTTAAAAGAATCTCTTAAGACAGTTTTTTATTAACCAATTCAGATCAATGATTGTCTCAAAAACTGAATGTATTAATTTTCTGGTGGTGTCATTTTAGAAAAGATTTCATAACCAAATTATACATTTAATTAACTTATGTGTAAGTTTTAGCATTCACATCCTAAATCACTGAAGCCCTATTTTATAAAATCTTACCACTCAAGGTAAACATATTTCATTACATGTCAATGAAATGATGAATTCTCTAAATTATCCATAAAAATCTGAAAAACCCAAATATCTAATTGTAACACTAATGTATCTATGAATAATCACATACATCATGACTATTTTAAAAAATATCTACAAATTTAAATAAGAAGCTTGCATATTATGGCAGAGTAAACAAAACTGTCTACTTTTTGGCTCAAATTCATATCTTCCCCAAAAATGTGCATATCATAGCCAACAGAACTTTTCTGTAGAATTTTATTTTGAAAATATTATTTCACTTAAGATTGATCTAAAAAACATTTTAAGATATGAAAATGTTATACAACTTATCTATTACAAATTGATTGGATAATTAATTCTGCAATTAGGTATACCATGTTAGCTCACCTACAAAAAAAATATTGCACACTTTCCTTCTGTCTCCAGATATGACTGATGTCTAAACTATATAGAATTCCAAACTATTTAAAAGTTATTCTGTGAAATGTCAACTCTATAAATATCAGAACTAAATGAACTGTAAAACAACCATTTTGGTAAACATGCATTTATTCACAGTTGATTTATTTCCTCTAGATAAATGCATAACTGCTCAAAATTATTTAAGAACCTATGTAGAGGTACGAGAACACACTATACAAATCTATTTCTACCTTTGTTTTGAGGAAACACTGATCTTGGCAAAGATCTGGCTTAATTTAAAATGAACTATTGCTGGTAAAAAGGCATACTTTAAAACTTTCCTTGATCCGTACCTGCTCATTTCTTTTTAAATTAAAATTTAAAAGCATTTGTTTTCAGAGATTTATCTGACGATTGTGGCATAAGTGAAAAATCACATAAAAACAAACCCAGAGGAACATTCAGATGCCTGTAAAGCCTCATTTTACTCATAAGTTATGACTGCTTTAAAATGCTAGATCATTCACTGAGCATAATTTTAAGGAACTACAAAACCAGATCATTTCAATGTTATGAAACTGACACAAACCTGCATAATATAGCATTCCTCCACTGAGCTGAGATCATATTATACTTTAAAAATATAAATAAATATATTGAATTGAGTTTTATTTCTATAATAACCTGAAAGTATTTAAAATGTTTCTAAAACAAGTGAGTAACTGCAGAATATAGTTCCAGACTTGACTGTTAGTGTCAAACAATTATTCCTTATAAATAACTCTAATGGTGCACTGACTTGATTGATTTCAGCAATTTCATTTTACAGGAGTGAACCATACTTTATACACACAGAAAATATATTACTTGGAAATCCCTAAATTAGGGAGAAAAGTTTAGAAAACTGTCAAATGCTTCCAAATGAAAAGTAAAGGTCTGTTTCTGGCCCTCTTCCACACCCTTAAAGTTGGAATTTGACAAAAATCCATGGGTACAATTTACAAACTTTGACAAACTATTGAGAGAAAACCATTTTCTTTGGGGGAGATAAGAGGAAGTACCTTTAAAACTTGTTATACAAAATTCCAGCTGCCTTTTTATAAAAGTACGTTCCTTAGAGTAAAATCAAAATTAAGGTGCAAGAGGTTAACAAAAATGAACTAAAAGCTTTATTGACATCACAGTACATTCAAGAATAATGTTAAGAACATTACAGCTGAAAGAGAATGGCATGTTTATAGTCTTATTATGCACTATTTTTTTTGGAAAAAAAAAAATACAAAGAAATCCTATTAAGTAACTCAGAGCAGCATTTGGAAAAAGTACACCTATTTACAGATTAAAAAAAAAGTTTCTGGTTTCACCTACACAGCCACAATGTGCCTCTATAATGAGACAAGCCCTTAAAACTCATGGAATTTTTTAAACATCATGGCATTCTTGCCACATCATTCCTCAGCGTTTACGACGGGGAGGGGTTGTTGATCTGAAAAAAAAAAGGGAAAAGACAAAATTTAAAAATAAAAATGTATTTTAAACTGAAGAATTTGCAATTTTTAAATAAAAAATATAATATAGGATTTCTATAATTACTTAAGACTATGATCATTTATCAAGTACCAAATTGACTTTATTAAAGAGAGAGAGAGAAAGGACACTTTCAACTTTGAATAAATTCAGTCAAATTTTTTAAAAAATCAGACAAAATACTTTAAAAAGTATACTACCTTGATCGGGACTTAGACTTGTGTTTGCGGCTTGCCTTCTTACCAGACCTTTGAGATTTCTCCATGGATCGCGATCGACTATGTTTAGGCTTCTTAGCCTTCTTTTCTTTGCTACTTCCTGGAGATTCAGAACTGCTCCTTCCACTAGAATCAGAGCCTGAATGTTTTTTACTATCTTTGGTAGTACTTTTCTTACTATCCTGTCTAGAATCATGTCTGATGATTTTAACAGATATAGAACCACTCCTAGAGAATGTTCTTTCACTTTCTCGTTTTCTTTTTAACCTGTCATCCTGACCACTGAACTTAAAATCTTTTTCTTCCCTTTTTTGTTTCTCTTTTCTTTTATCCTGTTCACGCTCCCTTTCTTTGTCTTTCTTTTTCCTATCTTTATCTATGCTTCGACTCCTCTCTTGTTTCCTCTCTTGTTCTTT